AAAGGGGCGATTCGATACAACACCACCACAGAGAGAGGGACGCTGGGCTTGTGAAGGGTGGGCGTGTTGTAATTATTGAAAAAAAGAAGAAATAAATTTAATATAATACATAAGATGTCAGTTATTTTCTGACAGGGTATTAAGTTTTCCTTGGGGGAAGAAGAGGAGATGATGATCATGGGGTGTATTTCATTGTTAGGAAAAACCCCTAGTGGGAGATGGGAAAATATTGAATAAGATGTCAGCTGTGGGAGATGAAGAAATGGATAATAATTATATTAAATTTTGGTATATTTTTTTGTGTTAATGTATAGAGATTGTGTTGATGTTTTTAATAAATAAATTTGAGTCTTATTATTATGAAATTATGGTTTGTTTTGTGTTATGGGATATGGTTTGTAATATTTATGGTTTGATATAGAGGTTTTTGAAACTAACCACTTCCTGTTAATAGTTAGTTTTTTAAAAAATTTATAATTTTTAACTATACTCGATATAATCCCCGGAAGTCCAGTTTGTGTCCCAAAAAAGCTTCAACGAGGATGACACTTTGATTCCTCTATAGCATAAAATATTTTTTAACTCTATAGTTCCTAGAGCCCTCCGCCCAATGTGCTGTTCTTATATCACAAAGAAATTTTTTTTTAAATTAATCCTGGAAATAAAACCTCAAATTAATAGTGCGCACAAATTGAGCGTTTGCGGTACGTTTTTTCCCTTGTTTTAAAATTGAAACGTACAAATATCGGTAAACATATATTTATTTATTTGTTTATCCTACCTTAATATATATATTTATAATAATCTATATATTTTAATATTGCTTAATTATATAATATTTTATATTTTTCAAGACACTAGAAATAGAATTAAAGTAATCTTTATTACAAAAAAAATAAATAGATTTAGAAATAATGCATATTAAATTTCAAATTTGAATGATATAATTTGATTAAATATATCTAATAATTGCTAAATAAATTGTATAATATTTTACAAAATAATTTTAAATTGTCTAATTTTTAATAAAATAATTTTAATTTACATTTTTCAATCTTTAATAATGTTAACTCAATACTTTAGGAATATTGCCTAAGCCTCAATATTTCGCAGAGACCTGCATAGGTACCATTTGTACGACCCGGCCCGGATTTTTAAAAAATTATATTCGACCCGGCCCGGGTTTTTTTTAAATTTCAGACCCGGCCCGGATTTTTAAAAAATTATATTCGACCCGGCCCAGGTTTTTTTTAAATTTCAGACCCGGCCCGGATTTTTATTAAATGTATTTTATTTATTTTTGATTTTTATGATACAGTTGTATCATGCAGTGGAAATTTCATCTCCAAGCTAATTAAAAATTTGATTTATAATTATTCATATATATATTTACCTTAGACTAATGGTGATAAACTAGTTAATACTAATATAGAATTCTTATGGTCTGGGTGCAGCTGGCTCCAGACCATTTGTTGAGTTTCCAGTAAGGTTCAGAATTTTTTAGTAACATTATCATCCCACATTCTAAAATTCTATAATAAAGAAAAAGTTGAAAAATTTTAAGGATCAATTGAACAAAATTAAAATGGGAAAGTCATCAGGATCATCAGGTACCAAACTATCATACAGATGGTATGATTATATAAAATTCATGGAGCCAACAATAAAAGACAGGAAAACTACAGAGAGTTTCTGTTATAAAGACAATACACCAAAGGCAAGTGGTCCAAAAATAAATGCTCTTGTAGATGAAAGACTTTTGGCACTTTTGGGAAAGGGTGCCATCTGAGAGAACCAGTAAAATATATATATATATTTAACATTATTAGAGATTGTATCTCCAATCAATGGCAGTGGGTTTGAAAAATATGAGCCATTTAAATAAATACTTTTTTTTCAAATGTGAAGTGGAGCAATCAAAGGATTCAAACACTACAATTGAATTATCACCTACAAATTCAACAGAAACACCTGCAAATCAAACAATCATTAGATTTATATAATGGAAATTATATCAAAAATTTGAAAATTGATTTGTTTTATTTTTTTTTGCAATTTTTATTTTATATAATAAAGTGTATTATTCAATATCCTTAGTGGCCATTTTTGAAAATTATAATAAAAAAATTATTTTATTAAATTAGACAATTTAATATTCTCTCGTATGTTCTAGTGAACATTTTAATTATTAAAGATTGAAAAATATATTTAAAATTATTTTCATTAAAAAATTAGACAATTTAAAATTATTTTGTAATATATATATATATAAATAAGCACACTATTCATAATTTATTTATCAATTAATAGATAATATTTAATATTATATCATAAATTTATAAATTTGATTTGATTTACATTATTTGTAAATATATTTATTTTTATATAATAAAGACATCTTTATTCTATTTCTAGCATCCTGATAAAATGTAAAATATGAATAAGCAAACTATTCTATATAGATTATTATAAATATATATTATATATAAATTATGTTTAAACAAATAAATACATATATTTATAGATACGGACCCAGCCCGGCCCGAATTTATTTAAATATAGAAATTAATCTTTATAATTACTCAAAATAAAGGACATATGTTATATGTCGTTTAGTTTCAATAAATAAATCAAATATTTTTATTTTACATAAAATATTCAATATAAAATTGATGAATTTAGATATATTTAAAAAAATTTCCAGGGTCCAAACCGACCCGGCCCGAACCCGATAATTTTAAATAGAATTAGGCCCGGCCGGCCGGGCCTAACTTTGCAGATCTCTAGTGTGTACGTTTCAATTTTAAACAAGGAAAAAAACGTACTGCTTTCAATTTAAACAAATACGCGTTACGTTAAAAAAAACGTAGTGCAAAAACGCGAACGCCCAATTTGTGTGCAATATAAAAACTACCAAAAAAAAATACTATATTATAAGAAAATAAAATTTTATTTTGCGTGCTTTTAATATTTTTATATTGTTTTACAAAAAAAAAGCCCAAAAAATATTTATATTTAAATTCGACTTGGTTATGAAATTTGTATCCATTGTCTGTATAAGGTATTTTTGGTTCTCCAAAATATATTGAGTATAGAAATGCAGTCTTTAGCTACATTGTCAGCCGTTTTTTTAATTTTAAAAGGTCTCAAAAAAATAACAAAACTACGTAAAATAATCTTGATAAACAAATATATATATTTGTAATCAACATCAGGTTGTGATTGCATGTCAACCAGGTCCCATCTTATAGTATAAAACCAATTATGAAATGATAAAGAGGGTAAAAAGTCCAGTCCACAAAGACCGCTAACCGGGCTGATTTTAAAATGGCCTCCAGTCCAGTCTTTTAGGGTCCACATTATTTAAATAAAATTTACAGGCTAAATATTTTATAAAATTTAATTTATGGGATAGATATTATTTTTTTATATTAAGAAAAATAAATTCAAATTTATTTAATATACTATCAAATATTTTTTACAAATCTAACAGATACTTATAAAAATTGGGAAATATTTATTGTCATTTCTGTTAAGAGGTTATAGGGGGGGGGGGGTAGTTACTTTGGATTTGGTAGGATAGATTGAGTGGGGTCCGGGGGGGGGGGGGGGGTAGATAAAAGGTAATTTTTGAGGAAGATAAAATTCACTGCATGGAGATGGGAGGGGGGGGGAGTGTAGAAATCTCTGATTACTAATATTTTTTCTATATAAAATTTAATAGGATTCAATAAAGACAAGACGTTTTAACTTTATTTATTTTTCCTTGTTCTCCGCAATATTTAAAAAGGTCTAAAATATAATATGTACTATATATCGACCAAAACATAACTTCCATAAAGTGGCCACATTTAATAGTGGTAGGACTATGTAAATAAATAAAGAAAAGCTATACAAAGGTAAAACAAAACCCCAAAAATTACGAGGAACAAATAATTAAAAATAATAACTGTCATTCAAACCAATTTTTATTTAAAAAGTTGACACCCAAATATAGAAAAAAATAAACTAAAAGTCAGGATACCAAATTTGAAGATATAATTTTTGCAGAATTATAGAGCCATAACATTTACATGAATAATAAAGTTTCTGATATTTAAAAAGCTTTATAAATACTTTTAGATGCGGAGCTTTTAAATTAAGGGAAATTAAATAAAGAAAGAGTAAATTATACACTAAAAATATGGTCCCAAAATGTAAAATCTATGCAGAAGATTATTATATTTAATTTAACTGCACTTTATTAAGCTTAAATTTAGACAATGAAGAAACATAAAACTATCAAAAGAAATTTCTATGCATCGTCAGAGTTTTAAAACCTGAATCTTCTTAAATTTATAGGAAGTAGCCAGAACCATTTTTTTTTGTTTAAGGGTCTAAACTTTGCATCTAATATAAATTTGTCAGATCAAAAATTATGTAAATTAAAAGGAATTATATATTATCTTTTATTTTCCCACAAAGATATAGCCTCATAACTGTGCACAAAATTAGGTATTAATTTTTTTTTAAATTTCTGAGTTATCAAAATTTGGGATGCAATAGTACTTGTTTGCAGGAGATTTTCTCAACTATGTTGTAAAGGGTCAAAAAATGAATGATTGGACTGATCCAATCTAATATTAAAATACTGTTATATCCTAAAAAATTTACAATTTTATATTAATTTATAAAAATTTTGTATCATTGTTTATTTAATCTTTATAGAATTTGAGCAAATAGAAATATTTCTATAAAATAAAAATTTTTATTGAAATTGTCAAATGCATGAAAATGAAAATAGTCAGTGATAAAATATATATGAAGTGGGATAGTAAGTATCTAATTTTTATAAAGTTGTCAAATTTATAGCTTGTATCTAATATTTAGTTAGGTTTATAGAATAATTAATATCTTATTTATTTTAGAAAAAATTGAAAACTGTAATAATGATTTGATATCAAATTAAAAGTAAAAAATAAATTATAAGTAAAAAACTTTGAATATATAGATAAAATTACCATATTGATTAAATCTATAACATATATATTCCCAGCAATCATAATTTCAAACAAAAATTTCATATCTCTTAAATTTTTCTCAATCACATCATTGTTTTGATCTTCATATAACCACCATCCACCCTGCCCTTCATAAAGCCTAAATAATTAATATCATAAATACTTTCATAATAAAAAAAATACCAATGGTAATCATTCTTAATTGACTGATATCTTTCTTGTATTTTAGTTAAATCTATAATTTTCCCATTTGTTAAAGAATCAATGGATATTTCATGCCTACATAGAGCACATCTATATAATAATATTTTTAAAAAAATATTAATTAATATACAAATTTATTCTACTTTTTACTAATTAAACAAAATCCTTTAGCACATAGAAAGCAAAATATGTGACCACATTCTAATATTATCGGGTGATTGCAAGATTGAAGACATATGGGGCATTCTAAGGAGTCTAAATTTTGCATATTACAGGTATGGGCCCTCTAAATTTGACGATATAACATAGCTGCTAGATAAAATATTCCTCATTATCGTCAAACTAGATACAAAATAATTTGGGAAAACTTTACATGAATAGCTCCAAAAGTGGGTGTAACTAAACTGAGAATTGCCATGTAAACTGCGAATGGACAGGTATAAATTTATTTATGGCCTATCAATTATATTTAAATATATAAATAATATATTTGTATTATGTAAATCAAATTTATTTTCAAAATTAAAATTATCTAAATTCAAAATATGTATAGAACAAATACGTTACAAAAATATCCCATAATAAATTTAAAAAATCATAAATATATTTCCGTTAGATGGCGTAATAGACTAAAAATTTAGTGTAAATAAATAAAATATGAATTATAGAAGCATAATTTTTTATTTGGATTAATTTATTTGGTATAAGCTATATAATCATAAAATGAATCCATTATTATTTTTTGAGTTATGATGTCAATTCTCAGTTTAGTCAAAAATATTTAGATTTTTGGGATTATATAAATGTCTTATTTTTTTGACTCATTTTGTGTAAACTTACTCATATAATCTTAAAATGAAAAAAATTAAGTTTCCGTCATTATTTTTTGAGTTATGATGTCAATTCTCAGTTTAATCAAAAATATTTAGATTTTTGGGATTATAAAAATGTCTTATTTTTTTGACTCGTTTTGTGTAAACTTACTCATATAAACATAAAATGAAAAAAAAAATTTCCGTCATTATTTTTTGTGTTATGACATGTGTAAAACTAGTTTACTTCTATTAAAATTTAGGGGCCCTTAAAAGGGCCGTTGGTTCGTTGGTCTTAAAAATGACCTTTGGGTATTATTTGGTCTTAAAAAAGACCGTTGGGTATTTATGTCTTAAAAAAGACGTTTTTTATCAATAAAGATTTAATAATAAATAACATTCTTTAAATAATCTTAAATATAATTTTATAAAGAAAAATTAAGATAAATGGAAACTCATTATAAAGTTTCTTAAGAAGATAAGAGCACATAATTAAACTTACAAATATTAATTTTATAAAAGTCAGGAGGATCGGTAATTGTTAAATATATATAAATTATTTTTTTTAAATATAGAGAGAATTATTTAGTTAATTATTGTATATATTAATTGTTGGAAATTAAATATTTCTTATAAAAACAAACAAATTATGGCCTTATTGTTTTCGTATCCTAACGGTTTCACTATAGCTAATTAACCACATGTTGAGGTAATTAGTTTTCCATTACTATTTTCTTTTAATATTTTCAACAGAATTGCCTTATGTTCAGCATCTGTCATCTCAGTCCAGCTCTGATGCATGATGATATATCTAATGCCTTTGTTAGATAATAAGGGCCCAACCCACATATGGCTCTCTCGAAGTCTTTTTCCTGTATTAAAATTATATCATTTATTTTAGAAGTCTTTTTCCTGTATTAAAATTATATAATTTATTTTATTTATCATTATATGTAAAGGAGTTTTTTTCCAATCAAATTTTGTTTTTAATACATGATTTATACTTTCACAATTATTGTTGGTGTAGGGTGTTAAAATTATTTTATTTTTTAAAGGTAAATATACCATATTATATAATTTATCTATCAAATGATTATCTAAATATTTTACAAATTTTGTATAATTTTTATTTAAGCAAAATTGTTTTAAATTATCTGTATTTTTTTTAAAGATTTCATCGGTTAATGAATATATTATTCCATCTTTATTGAAAATAAAATTTATAATTATGTTGCTAATTTTTATTTCAACTTCTTCGTTATTAGTTAAAAAATGAATTACATTTACTTTAATGTGTTTAGTACATAAAAGATGGGTTGAATTTATAAAATTTCTACGCAAGGCCGATACCATCCCCAATTCTCCGTCACTCCCAAAAATTAAATTATTTAAGGGTACACAAAAATTGATTCAAGGTGAGAGAAAAAATTATTAAATGTTTGATAATCCGAATTAACATGTAAAAATATAGGTCCTAAGAAAATTGGATGATCATGTAAACGGTGAGTTTTTATACATTTATGTTTAAAAAGGATGCATGTTACAAACAATTCTTCTAAATTATTAGTTTTATCTATACTTATAATGCTATGATTATTATTTGAGCAGATATATTCAATGTTATCTATCATGAGGGGAGTATATAAAATAAGAGATATTACTTTATCGGGGCTGATATCAACCTTTTGTACCAATGGGTATTTATACATGTTTTTTAAAATATAAAGAGCTTGATCAGCAAAATTAGACAAGTATCCTAATTCATTTTTGCTTAAAAGATTACATTTAATATTAGTTACTTGTTTTACATATAGAGGTCTTATTATATCATGATCTTCAATTAGTAATTCTTGGTAGATATTACTAGGTGTTTGGTACTTTACTTTATTAGCAATTGTTTTGTAAACGCAACGCGGTGTGCGTAAATATATAGATTGAGATATTTTCTTATTTCCATGAGCTATTTTACCAGGATACTCACCTAAATATTCGGCAATAAAAATATCGTGTAATTGGTTAACTGATGATGACATATTAATTAAATAAGAAATCCTTCTCTTATATTTTTCACAATTTCTTAACGCACTATAGTAACGATGAAGAATTACCATATTGTCAATATTTGGCTGAGGTTCAAGTAATTCTAAAATATTATGATTTTTAATTTGTTTTTTTTTTAAAAAAGAATTTTTCAGGCCCGGCTCGGCCCTGGTACCCGGGCCGGGCTTAATGCAGAGCCTGCACAGGTTTCTGATATAAATTGTAATATTAAAAATATTTTTTTACTTTGTATTTGAGAATTTATTTATGAATAAATAATAGTTTTTTTACCTTTATATATATTCTATTGAGATAAATATTTATAATAATATATTAACTTTTTAACTGTAAACAACATTTTTATAATGGTGAATAAAATATTATGTAAGAGATTTCGAGTACCGTTTTATGTAATATACATTACATATTTACTAATTTTATAAAAATAATTATCTTTAAGAAACTTTGAAATTTTTACTTGAAGTCCTACTTCCGTTTAATTTATCAACTGAATTTATATAATAACCATAGGTATGCAACATAATTATGTAAGTCGTTTAATCTAAACTAAATTAATAATTAAATTTGACCGAATGATTCATACAAAAACAATTGATGGTATGAAGAAAAAATGAATTGTTCGACACTTTGTATCTTAATTTATAAAGATACAAAATAATAAAAAAATGAAAAACGATTGTTAGACTTATTTATGATATAAATACCCAACGGTCTTTTTTAAGACCAATACCCTACGGCCCTTTTAAGGGCCCATAAATTTTAATTGAAGTAAACTAGTTTTACAATTGATGTCATAACTCAAAAAATAATGATGGAAACTTAAATTTTTTTTCATTTTATGTTTATATAAGTAAGTTTACAATGAGTCAAAAAAATAAAACATTTTTATAATCCCAAAAATCTAAATATTTTTGACTAAACTGAGAATTGACATCATAACTCAAAAAATAATGACGGAAACTTAAATTTTTTTTCATTTTCTGTTTATATGAGTAAGTTTACACAAAATGAGTCAAAAAATAAAACATTTATAAAATCCCAAATATCTAAATATTTTTGACTAAACTGAGAATTTACATCATAGCTCAAAAAATAATAATGGAAACTTAAATTTTTTTATTTTATGTTTATATGAGTAAGTTTACAAAATTAGTCAAAAAAAATAAAACATTTTTAAAATCCCAAAAATCTAAATATTTTTGACTAAACTGAGAATTGACATCATAACTCAAAAAATAATGATGGAAACTTAAATTTTTTTTCATTTTATGATTATATAGCTTGTACCAAATAAATAAATCCAAAGTAAAGAATTATGCTCCTATTATTCATATTTTTTTTAATTAAAAACTAAATTGTTAATATATTACGCCATCTAACGAAAATATATTTATGATTTTTTAAATTATTATGGATGTTATATGTTCTATGTAACATATCTGTTCAATATATATTATAAATTTATGGACTACAATTTCCTCTATATTCTATTTTATTTATTTAGATAAAATTAATTTTGATAAATTTGATTTACAAAATAAAAACGTTTATTTTATTTTTATAAAATAAAATTGATAGGCTATAAAATAAACATATATTTTACCTGTACATTCTCACTTTACCTGTCTATTCGCAGTTTACCTGTCAATTCTCACTTTAGTTACACCGCCAAAAGTTCTATCCAACTGTGATTGATCTATTAAAGTGCGGGAAAAATCTTTAAAAAAAAATTTACGTGATATATAGCGCTTATGCCCTCTAGCACTGAAAATACAACAAATCTATGCTAGGTTTTCCTCATTTCCATCTAATTTGAACAAAATTTAATTTTGGTACGAAGTAAAATTTGAGGAACCCTATACACGTTTGTGGGGATGTCGCACATGCTTGCACCAGAGGATCGCTAGCCTTTGCAATCTTACGGGGCTTAACTAAAAAAAATTTATGAGGGGCTTTATACTTTTTTACAATTTGCTAACTCTAAACAATTATTCTGAATTTCATATTTTGCATACAAAATAAACTAACATATAAATAATTAAAACAATATAAGATATATCCAGAGTTGGGCAGTACCGCGAATACTTGTATCTAAGATACAAGATCCTTTTTTATCTTGTACTCAGTATCTTATTGACATTTTTAATAAGATACTAGTATCTGTATCTAAGATCCTTTATTTTGAAAAGAATCTTGTATCTTTTCCATTTTCTTTAAAAAGATACAGATACAGATACAGATTCTTTTTAATATTCTTGTTTAAAACATTTACATATCACACAATGTAACTTTATTTTCTTCGTGAAATCTTGTATTATTTTCTTTATTTTTTCCCGTTATATTTTAAATATATTGATAACCAAAATTGTTATAGGTCACAAAGATAGATAGATTAAAAATTACAACACCAAAACTAAATAAGAGAAGGATATATTTTATATGTAATATTTTTTAATTTATAAAATGTTTAACAATCATAGTAGTGAAGATGAAATTATGGAGATGGGTTCTCCT